TTCCCAGGAGCGCAACTCAACAATATTGGCAATATCATTTTAAAGTCGTCTACTTTAAAATGCATAATGTATGTCTGAATTGTCAATATAAATGAGTCAGATAAAATTAAATAATTAGAAGAATTTTTCACTCTATGTAACAAAAAACTTAAAGTAAATTTGTTTAATTTACTGTTTGTATCTTGAGAACGATTTCCGAAGTGGAAATTGAAACATCAATAAACGTATTTTTATCTTTAATTGTGACTTATTCCCAGTTAAATAGTAAGTAAAAGATTGTATTTCTTTTATTCTGCTTATCAGCTATCATTTGAAAATATACTTCCCAGGTATTCAAATGTTAAGGCCACCTCTAGTTTCTGTCCTTTGTGTGTTATTGTCATGGCATTTTTTCCATTTTTGTCCTAATATTTATTATAATCTTTAACTTCTCGATCTCTTTTATCTACTTACTACATATTATTAATTTTTATATATCAGGGCGTACAGGTACCAACTGTCAGTTTTTTTTAGATCTCTATTATATTCTCTTCCCAGTTTCTTAATATAGCAAGTTCCAATAGTCTGTACTTTATTATTGTTAGTAGCCATTTTGTGACAACTTAAATCTAAAACTAAAAATAAATGCTATTTTAATTTAATCTATACACAATATTTTCTAATAAAATTTATTACTGGATGTTTTCTTGCAATTTATTAGATCCTTAATCTAATTTGTGCCAGTCACGTCATTTTATATTATAAATAACCATCACGACCAAAATAATCAATATTTCTAAAGATAGGTAATTTAATAAACAATTTTTGTTAATAGTTTGTTAAAATATTGAAAAATGTATATTGTTTTCAGAGGACATATTAGCTACGATAGGTTGTCTTTCCTATAAATTACATTGATAACGCCTGATCTCTGTGACTTCTTGGAAATTATCTAAAATTATTGAACTTACCAATGAATTTTGCAAAAAGCACTGCCCTAAAAATTTTAGTACATAAAAATTTTTAGTTTTTTTTTGGATTCCTGTAACTGATGCAAACATAACTTATATAAGTTTTAATGTTGCCTTCTTCTTCTTTTCTTGTAGACTCATGTAGGCAACGTGCCTCCAGTAAGTTGTCATTCCATCGTTTTTGTGTTCTTCTCACTGATCGGATTCTTATTGGAGAACCATCTCTATCCATATTTACTACTCTATTTGTTGCCATTCAGCTTATAGATCGTTTCATTTACTCTCTCTTGCTTACTTAGTCTTCGATCTTCCTCTTTTTTTACATCTTTTATGCATTATGTTTGTTCTTTCTGTGTTGGGTCGTGTTTCTGCTGCGTATATCAATATTGGTCTGATGACGTTTATTTTTATATTATTATGATGTGTTAAATCGAGAAAAATATTGGTTTGCTTAAAATATTTCAAAGTTCAAAAAAAAATAAAATAATTCAGATAAGTCGTATAATAAACTACAAACATTTCGAAGACTGAAAGTCCTTTATCTTTGGATTACCTATATTGAACAAAACGTAAGATATGCATAAATTATTTTCTTTATTAAAAGATATTTGAGTGACGTGAGGACCTTAAGTGAAATCTTAGACAATGGAAGCGGGTTTTCCAAATAAATTTATGCAGTAATTAGGACAATAGAATAGATTTTAGAAAGATATGTTTTTGTTAGTTCATAAGAATTGGTAGAAAAAGATTAGTTTGTAAATAATGTTCGGAAATTTTATAATTGTAGGTAAAAATTTGTTTGTGTTATCGAAATGAAGAAATGGGAGATGTATGACGCGTTTTTGATTGGATGAGATTGAAAAAGGTGGAATGGATGGTTTGAGAATGAGACTTTAGTTAGTTTTTGAAGAAAAAAAAAGATAGTCAGTTGGTTTCCAAGGGTGCAAGGCGAACGGCCGTTGTTCTCGGGTAGTTTAGGTAGGAAGCAGTAGCAGTGAAAGTTTGTGAGTTTTCGTCTAGTTAGTGTATCTGACAGAAGCTGATCCAGTAAAAGATTGTAAGTGTTATTTTTCTACTTATATTCCAAGAGTCACTGTTCGGGCCAACGAGAGATTCAGTTTATCGTAAAGAGAAGATATTCCAAGAGTCATTTTTCACTCAGGCCAACGAGAGATTCAGTTTATCGAGAGGAGAAGAGGCTAGCATAATTTGAACGATTCGTGCATTTGAAGGAGATCATTAAGGACGATAAACTTGCAACAATTTGTTGTAAGATTGCTGATTACCTAGGGAGCTGCTAAGAATAGATAGTGTAGGCTACAAGGAACAAGGATTTGGACCACTCATCATCATAGAGAGATAGTTTTGTTTTTCTGCAGTTTTTTCTTTTATTGATAACACAATTTTTACAATTACTTTAGAAAATATATAAAATATTTGATTCGGAGATTTTAGAATAATAATTGGGATTTTGAGATTTTAACTAATATTGTTTGTACCATTAATTTTGAAGGTTCACGTACATAGAACAAAATTTTAAGAATCATTATATGAGATATTGTTTATAGAAAACATTTGAGTGTGAATTTTATTTCATTATGTTGATTTCAATATATAATGTTATATCATATATGTTTTTTATTATTCCGGTATTCATTGGACCTTACCTTTCACATGTAAATATATAATATATAAAGCATATATATTGAAGCACGAATATAACACTGAGATAAGAGAATTAAAAAGTGTGATAGAATCGTAATCATATCATTTAAATAATTTTAATTAATTAATTAATTAGCTAATTAATTGCTTGGCGCACTAAGATTTTGAATACCACAATAATATATATATATATATATATATATATATATATATATATATATATATAAGCCACAATTAAAGGTCAAAGTACCTTTATTGACAATTTTCACTTCGGAAATTGAAACTAGCTTCAGAACAATATTTCTCGATGTTGTTTTATTTAGACATTCTGCGTCTCGGTTTACTTTATTCTCTTGATCTTTCACTTCTGTTTCGAGCTTTTCGTCGCCAGATATAATGATGCCTAGATATTTAAACTCCATCACTTGTTCTATTATCTGAGCCTACAGCTCCAATTTACATGTTAGTAGATTTGATGTTATAACCATCGGCAACCTTTCAGTCTCTATTCTCACTACATGACCATACCATCAAAGTCTGGGAAGTTTAACGAATTCTGAGATCGGCGCCTCTTTGAAAAGTTGGTAGAGTTTCTGCTTGTACCTGGATCATTATAATCCGTTTTCGTTTATAAGGCCAAATATCATTCTTGAAAGCTTTCTTTTTTTATTTTCTATCATCACCCATGTCTCGCATCCATAAAATACTATTGGTCTGATAATAGTTTTGTAGATCTTGATTTTCGAACTTAACCGTGTATTTTTGGAGCGGAACAGCGGATTTCTGGTTCTTGTTTAATCATCTCTATCAAAGATGAGAAAGTTTCTACATATTCACAGTTTCAATATCGTCTTCTTATTCAAATGTACATCTGTTTCCCCTTATATAATTTTCCAACTTTTGAATGAGATTAAATGTTATCTCAAGCAGTTATTTCCGTCAATACGTGTTATTAAAAAAAGGATCAAAATAACGAATAATAACGTCAGAATTAGTTAAGACGGTTTGTTAATTAAAAAATTCTATTTTGAGAACGGATTAACATATGAAAATAGAAACAGCAAATAAACAATTAATTTTAATAATCTGGAGGTTTATTTTTGTAAAAGTCTTGAAAACAGGAGGTAAATATAATTCTAGTGTTTTCGGACATCATCGGAGCTTTGGTCAAGTCAATATGTATAGCGTCATATTCAAACGTTTGTAAAATGTACTTTAAATTAATTTTATAACAGCTAGACTGATATTTTTTGTAACTGAGAATTGAGTTCTTTTTCAATAAATTAAAAGTAAAAAGGTATTATACAAATAATTTGCAGCTATATTTTAACATACAAGTATATGACCCAAAAAGTAAATATATGAGGAGGTAAAATACAAACAAGCTTAAGTCACAAATGAGTAATTTTTCAGGAGGGGCGAAAAACCGTCACGCATTACTTCCTGTAGTGGGTTCATCAAAAATCAAACTCTTGTCCCAACCAAGGCGTGGATCAAAAGTAGACCAGTCCTCTTCAAACATTTTTTTCAAAAGTTTGTCAACATCTTTGGTCTTTTCTTTAGTTAACACATGATGAAGTGATAGTTCTTCCAGTCTTACTTGTTTACCATTATTTTTCCCTTTCTTTCTTAAAGATACAAAATATTCTTCTCCTTCATATCTGTAGTTTTTCAAGCCTCTTACCAATACAATCTTTTTGTAGACTTTTCTTTTCCCTCTTTTCGGAGGTGTTTAATTTCTTCTTGTGTCCGGTAGCATATTTCAGTTCTCTTCAGTTCATTTAATGATTGGATGTCCTTATAATATTCACTTTTTAGTATCAAGTGGTGGCCAATCTTCTCCTAGTGCTTTTATCTTGCCTGTACCACTGTAAAGATCATGGTATTCCTGTTTAATTAAAATTATGAGTGTTTTTCTCTTAAAATCCTTACACAATCTCAAATTTGCAAGACACTGGGTCAGCTGAGTGGCAGTTGCTGAGCTTCTATTGGTTGGTTGGAAATAAACTAGTTTGCATGAACCAGTACAGTAAAGTTTTTTTGCGTGTAAAGGTAATTTTTAACATGCTGCTACCATCGGAAATAATTTTTTTTGCATCAATCAGATAGAATAAACTAGTTTGGCTACAACAGAACAATGCATTGGTACATCTAACACAACTTTGATTTTTGTGTGACTTAAGGCTGTTTGCATGTTACCTCTTCATATATATTTTATATGGAATTCCCCAATATAATAATAAAATTACTAATATCATTCGTTACTGATATGGAGTTATCATATTTCACTCTTAATATTCACTCATAAATCGTTAGTGCATTAGATAGAACGAAGATAGAAAATATTTACGGTTAATTGTTTAAGAATAAAAGATGAATATGTAGCTGTTGACAGATGGGATAACCAATAAGCTGGTAGGATGCAAGCCCGAAGAAGCAGATGATGAAGAAATAGTCCTCGTCAGGATATATGGAAACAAGACAGATCTGATCATAGATAGGAAAGCGGAAACAAGGTAAGCACAATAATAAATTTTAATTAAATAAAATACTAAAAACTGCTTTTCAAGGACAGCAATTTAGGTCTCTACAATTACATATTTAAGGATTTAATCATTAAAAACGAATGAATTTTTCTTCAAAGGATATTTGTATCGAAGTCATTAACTTCATTGTTTTTTTTTCTATGTGCCCATTAACATTTCCATGTTTTCTCATTTAAAAACTGTAAATAGTTCTTTCACAAACACCTGTCACATCGGAGTACAACTATTTCGCAAGCGATTGTTGGTTGTTGTAAGAAAATAGGCTCCTATAAAATTTAATTGGGTATCAAAAGTTGATGCAATTTTTTTACAAGAACCGTCATTACATCAGGTAGTGACGTCAGCTCATTGTAAACATTTTTTCGCTTGAATAGGTTTATTTATCTATTATCTAATGGTACGATATGATAACGGGCAGTTATAAATATTTTTAATAATTTTTATCTGAAAAGTATACAACAAGTTAAATGCAACCATTGATGTTTTTTACTTTTACCTGACAATAGTGGTTATTAATAGTAGAAAACTAAATTCATTGTAATATGCTTGTTATTGTTCTTTATGGTGTTAATAAATAATTAGATATAAGGGATAGCTATGTCGAAATTTACTCTAGATATTCCCTATTTTCTGTATATAATATGTCAAATTATATTAATGGAAGAAAAGAACACTTGTTCAATAAAACAAGAGACTGACAATAGAATATTTGGAGATAAACAAAACTACAACAAGAAGATAAAAGGGAAAAAGAAGAAGAACAACTAGAAAGAATAATTCAACAAAACAAAAATATGAAGTGTCTCCGACCAAAACTGGAATTAATACAAATAAATTCCATTACAAACATCCATGGAGAGAAAACAAACGAGATAAATGATATTACAGCAATATCAAAACAGTTTTACTTAGATCTTTATTAAGAAAAACAACCTCTAACACAAGAGATTGTTTAAAAATTGAAAATTAAAATAAAAAATAAAAGCTCTGAGTTATAACCAGAGAATAGAAACCTAGAAAGAGAAAAAGCACGTAGAGAAATGAAGAATAATAAATCACAAAGGAGAGATGGTATTATCGAAGAGAGAGCTGGAGAGAGTCGAATTGATTAAAAATATGGAAAAGTTACTAGAAGTTTTGCATATCTTCACAAACAAAATATTAAGCATAGGAAACATACCCACTAGCTGGAATGAGAAAATCACGTCATCATTACTCAAAGAACGAGATAAAAGAACTAAAAAATATATACAACGATTACTTACTTGCAGCGCTGCTCAATTCCCTGCTCACTGCGCGGAAGTGAGCTTAATGTAAAAGGGGTAAAAGGTCTGTATTTTTTAATTTGTTAATTTCCATAGATTCTAATAAAGATGGCTTAAGGCCTTTATTTTGGATGTGAAGAATTTGATATTCCTTACTAAAAGAATGATTATGATCTAGAAGGTGATCTTCTAGATCACCTTCAGATGGACTCAAAATCTTCCTCCAAATAATACAATCAGTGTCACCTGCCAGTAACGTCCCGTTCACACTTTCATAAAATAATATCCACAAAGCAATAATTCTAAAATTGGTTACAGTTGAGAAAAATCTACTTTAATCTACCAATCAACATTACCAAACATTTTTTTCATTATTTTATTTTTAATTCCAGAAACATTATTCTCCTTCACAAGGCAGGATTAGCACCAAATCTCTACGCAACATTCAAAAATGGTCTGGCTTATAGATACCTTCCTGGTTGTACGTTAACTAGTGAATCTGTTAGAGAACCGACAATATACACATTAGTAGCTAAACAGCTGGCACTTCTACATAAGGTAAATCCCAACAATGGACCTTCAAAAACATTTCTTTGGGATAAGATTAGGCAATTTTTAGATTTAATACCAGACACATTTTCGGATCCTGAGAAACATAAAAGGTAAGCATAATTTAAAAAAGTATATATATATATATATATATATATATATATATATATATATATATATATACAGGGTGTTTGGTAACGAATGGGCCATAGCTTAACCTTAGATTCCTGAGGTTATTATCATCATCATCATCATCATTTAATATTCGCTTATCCACTGCTGGACATATATCTCCCTCATAATTTTCCATCTATTTCGATCTTGTGCCTCTTGCATCCAATTCCTATGACAATGTTTTAGATCGTCAGTCCAACGTGTTGGTGGACGACCTCTGCTTCGGTAGGCATCATCTCTTGGTCTCCATTCCAGTATCTGCTTTGTCCATCTATTATCTGTCATTCGAGCCACGTGACCTGCCCAGTTCCATTTCAGTGTTGCTACTCTCTCTACTGCATCAGGCACTCCTGTTCTTTGTTCTAGCTGGCGATCTTGTCTCGTAGTGAAACGAGAACAACGCTCATAGCACGCTCCATCGCCCTTTGACATACACGGATCTTTTGAACTGGTCTTCTTGTCATGGTCACCGTTTCCGCACCGTAAGTCAACACTGGCAAAACACACTGATTAAAGGTTTTACTTTTAAGGCATATTGGTATATCAGACGATTTGAAAATATGGTTCAGCTTGCCGAAGGCTGCCCAAGTCAGTCTTATACGACGGAGAAGCTCAACGGTTTAATTATCTTTTCCTATGCGGATCTCATGACCTAGGTATTTATAGGCCATTACCTGGTCTATGGATCTTGTTCCTTCGCTGACTACAAGATTTGTCATCATCTGGGTTTTAGATATATTTATTTTCAATCCTCCTTCAAGCTAGGAAAGGTAGAGCTGATTTAAAGGTTCTTTGGCCTTATCTATCTTATCAGCTATTAGTACAATATCATCTGAAAACCTTAGATGGCTAAGCTTTTCTCCGTTTATGTTTATGCCCTTGTCGGTCAGTTTTGACCTTTTACATATATATTCCAAAAGCGTAGTGAACAGTTTCGGCGATATGGTGTCCCCCTGGCGTACTCCACGTTGTATCGGGAATTTCTGGGTTTGACGATCACCCATTCTAACACTGGCTGTTGCGTTTTGGTATATGTGTGTTTAATTATATTTATATACCGATAGTCAATTCGGCATTCTGTCAAGGCTTTCAAAATTTTTTTGTTGATTTACGGTGTCGAATGCCTTTTCATAGTCAACAAATATTTAAGCTAGTGGTTCATTATATTCAGTGTAATTTTCGATAAGATTTTTTATTACCAGTAGGTGATCGTTTGTTCCATAGCCTTTTCTAAAACCCGCCTGTTCTATGGGCTGATAAAATTCCAATTTATTTTCTAGTCGTTTCGTAATTATTTTTGTAAATAGTTTATAAATATGTGAAAGTAGGCTTATGGGCCTGTAATTCCTGAGGTCGGTAGCATCCCCTTTGTTATGAAGTATGATAATTTCTGCGTTATACCACTGGGTTAATGTTATTGCTTCCTGCAAACATCTATGAATTGTTTGGCAAGGACCTGCCATAATCTTTTTCCAGCCACTTTCAAGGCATCTGCAACTATTTCATCACCTCTGGGGGATTTATTGTTTTTCATTTCTTGCACTGACTTTCGAACTTCATTGGGTGTTACGTCCGGTAAAATTTCAGATCCCTGATTCATTATTTTTGGTAATGATCCACTCCGGTTACATTGCTGTTCTTTGTATAGTTGTCTATAAAAATTCTCTATCGTGTTCATAATTTGAACTCTATCCTCAAAGATTTGCCCCTGTTCATTTCTTAATTTGTGGACGTTTTTTCTTCCAATGGACATGCTCTGTCCTATAGCAATAGAACAAAAATCAGGATTTGGTACATGAAACAAGTGGACAAAACTCAAAGATTATAAATAAATTACTTTTTATTTTGTTAAATAATCATTATCTTTATAGTTAACCTACATTTTTAAATGACTCATTTCATTCTAAAATTTTTTAGGTATGTAAAAAATGTAATTCCCAAATCGAAAATAGAAGAAGAAATGTATGAACTAAAAGAAGTTATAGAAAATTTAGACAGTCCTATAGTGTTTGCCCATAATGACCTTTTATTGGGTAATGTCATTTACAACAAAGAAAAAAATAAAGTTACGTTTATAGATTACGAATATGCAGCTTTAAACTACCAGTCAGTCGATATAGCGAACCATTTTGCAGAATTTGTAGGTAAGTTCACTGTATAAGATGTACGATTACCATAGCCAATTTCGCAATATTCAAAGCCAAATCCAGATAAGTTCTTTTTCTTCTTCTTCTGTTTATGAAGACAAGAATCCGTCTGTTTTTCAATATGCCTCCAGTAAGTTGTCCTTCCATCGTTTTCGTGGTCTTCCTACTTCCTACATTCTACTCTTCTATTTCTTACCCGGTTCTCGATGCTCTCCACCTTACATCTATGTCGTATATCTGCACTTCTTGCTCTGTCCCATACTGTTTTACCATCCATTTTTGTAAGTGTTTTCATCTCTGCTGTTTCTAACATTCTTTTTGTCCTCTATGTGGCAGATCGTGTTTATGCCGCATATGTCATTGTTCTAATGACCATTTTGTAAATTCTGCTTTTCATTTCTTTTCCGGAATTTTTATTTCTCCATATTGTTTCATTCAGGCAACCTGCGGCTCTTTTTGCTATATTCACTTGATCTTCCACTTCAGTTTCGAGCTTTCCGTAGCTAGATAATATGATACCTAGATATATAAACTCCGTCACTTGTTCTATTATCTGACCTTCCAGCTCTAATTTACATCTTAGTAAATTTGCTGATATAACCATGCATTTGTCTTTTTTTGAGGAAATTACCACATGTTAAATTTTCTGGCGATTATATTAAATTGGTGCAGCATACGTTGTAAATAATTTTCACTTTGAAAAAATAGTATTGCGTCGTCTGCATAGCAGATTATATTAAATTGTTTTTCTCCCATTTAGTATCCTTTTTTAGTTCTTACTTTTTTATTATTTCATCCATAATTAGGTTGAAAAATAGAGGACTCAAGGAATCTCACTGTCTTATCCCATTGTATCTCTCTTGCGTACAATAAGTGGATAACCTCCTTTAAAACCCGTTCAAATGCCTTCTTAAGGTCTACGAAACATAGATATGCCGGTTTGTTGTATTCTAATGATTTCTCTTGCACTAGCCTCATTATAAATATATCTTCGGTACACGATCTTCCTGACCTAAAACCTTGTTGTTCTTTTGCTAGTGTTATCATTTCATTTCATTTCGAATTTTCCTACCTGAATAGCTGAACCTTAATTGGTGAAGTATTAAAGTTGAGCGAACTACAAATGGGCCCTCGAAGGATTGGGAACCAGATATACCTTGTTTGCGCTGTGGGTCTTGCTGCAATAGTGCCTAGATCAGTGGAAAGAAGAATATATCTGCTTCCTAGAAAGAAAAATAGAAATTTATAGAAAAAGGACAAGAAACAATCACTCACCTTATCTGTTCGTTCAGCAAATCTGTTAGAATTTATTTATAGGTGGTCCAAGAGAAAATATTATTTTCAGAAAAAGCAAAAATACAAAGTTGTTACATACAAGCTGTATTTATTACTAGCCAAACCATAAATTTAACCGTACATATACATTATATTAATATTATATTAATTTTCATATTGCAAACAGAAATTTCCATTATAAATTGATATTTTAGAATAGCAATTATTCCTGCTGTTGCAAGAACTCTTCTAACCTTGAATCTTAATCATGAGATCATCTATTTCCACCTAGCGGGCGATTAAATTCCGCTTGGAAGCTTCTGACAGAGGCATCTAGCAACTGTAAACAAAACTTAATATGGTGTTAGATTAGATTATGTTCTAAATTTTGTTTATGCTCGTTCGAAGATTCTTGAGTGCAATTCATATATTCAATCTCTTTCGGATATACGAACGACATGTATCAAAACCATATACCATGTAATAGAAAAATGCTACATTACTATGACAAACTTCTTTTTTTTTTAGTGTGCCTGTTCGTTCCGAACGTTGGCGATCATTCTGGCTATGATGACTTTGATGGTTGCTATACGGAATAGCTGTATTGAGGTCTCTCAGGTTAGCAAGCCAGGATATTCTTCTTCGTCCTGGGGCCCTTTTTCCTTTAATTTTACCTTGCAAAATGCATTCTAGTAGCACATATCTGCATTTATTTCTCATTATATGTCCCAAATACTGCAGCTTACGGCCCTTCACGATGTTGACCAAATTCGCGGTTATGTTCATCCTCCGTAGTACTTCTTCATTGGTGACTTTGTCTGTCCACGGTATCTTCAGGATCTTTCTGTATAACCATAGCTCAAAAAAAGTAAAATATAAACTGTAACAAACGCTTTATTATAGTTCGTAAAAATTATATGTCTTGGATAAGGACTATCTAGGACCTAGTTTGTATTTGTCCGATTGCAGCTTCCAATAATATATATATATATATATATATATATATATAATATATAATATATAATATATATATATATATATATATATATATATATATATATATATATATATATATATATATATATATATATATAAAGTGCACTCGTAAGTAAATGGGATGTTTTCGGTGTCAATTTGGAGATAAAAAAAGACAAGAGTTGTGCTACATTTAATGAAGACGTTTCGCCCACTATTTAATGAGCATCGTCAGTTCATCTAAAAGGGTATTATTAGCGATATATCTAATATGAGAAATAATTAAGTAAATGATCTTACCTTTAAAAGATTTGTAGCGTTAAAATGGTATTAATGTGAGGAAACTCCAAAACAAGGCAAACATAAAAAATTAATCCAATAAATACATCAGCAAAAAACAAAGAAACACAGAACGCCGTAAGATTCCAAATTTACGTAATTTTATATTATTTTTTTTAATTTAACTTTTGACAACATTGATTAATTATAAAATCTATCAAAAAATGTACTTGTCAATTTTGAAATGTTAACAACGGCACGGCCATCGAGCAAAAAGATAAAAGAGGGAATCTAATCGTTATGAAAAGGAGACCAAAAAAGTGGCCTCTGATGGCGGACATATCCGGAAATGCAAAGGCGCTAAATTTAAATTTTCCAACACTTGTTAACAATACCTGTAAAATATTTTTCAGACAAGAAAGTTTTAATTAAATATTAACGATAATAGTCTAAAAAGTGACATAATTGGTAAAAAACTTCAATATAAATAAAATTTCATGTGACAGTTGGGACAAACAATAACATAACCAAACTAAATTTGACTTCTTAAACAAGGAAAGAGACTGTCTTTCCTTGTTTAAAGTGGCCTCTCAAGATAGGACTTCCTGTCTAACAATATTGTTGTCCCCACTACCTTTACATTCCCTCTTTTATCTTTTTGCTCCATGGGCACGGCTCAGGGTTCTTGACTGTTACGACCATAACATGCGAAATAAAGTATTTGAAAGCTCGAATGTCAGAACTGACAATCAGCTGGTGAGATTGAAGGACAAGTTTTGTAGATGCCAATATAAAGGTTAATAAAATACCAAGGGTTTAAAAAGCAATGATAGGAATGTTAGCATAGAATAGTTGATATGAATTGTTATGTGGAAAAACCTTAATATAAAACAACGGTCAGAGTTTTGATTTTAGTGACGATTATAAATTAAGATTTAAATTTAATTTAATATTATATAAATTAAGATATATGATATGAAATACAGAGAATGAAACCAAACCAAATGAGAGTTCAAAGAACAACCACCAAATCAAAAGAGGATGAATATGACCTTTGGAATATATTTTTTAACGAAATTCCTTCTGTAAGGAAGAAAACAAAAAGCAGTAAAAACATTGACCACCGTAGAAAAGGTTGGTGGTAAGTGGCAAAAGTGCCCAAATGTCTGAAAAAATCTGGTTCAAATCATTAGGTTGTTTCAAAATCACCACACATCTCCATAAACTGTCTCTTATTAAGGTTACGTTCTCTACAGAGAATACTAACATTATCAAAATTCACAGCATGTTTGGTGTTGATTGCATGTTGTGCAAGGGCACAGGTATATTTAGACAGTTTAATGTCACTACGATGTGAAGTCAGGCGTCCTTTAAGGGAACGGCCTGTTTGACCAATATAACATGCATCACATTCAGAACAGGGTATGTGATAGACTACATTCACTTGTTCCAAAAAGGAAAGAGGTGTTTTAGTTTTAGAAAACAAGTTCCTGACAGGCTTAGCATTATTGACAGCAATCTTAACCGGGATATTGTTCTGTTTGTGCAATTTAATAAGCTTTTCAGTAACATATGGGAAATAGGGTAGTGAAGAGTAATGGGTGGTGAAAGTTGCAATGTTAGGAGAAAGTAGAGTACTGTTGTTCATAATATTATTAGAAATCATCCTTAGTTGATCACCATCAGGTAAATCATCAATAGAAGACCCCAAACTTGTTGAAAAAAGGTATTTATTGATGCGAGAAGTAGGGTACGAATTGTCAGATAGTATACTTCTGAGTAACAAAAGAGAATCCCTTTTGTTATCAGGATTTGTTAACCTATGTAGCCTACAGCCGAGTGCTTTTATAAGATTTATTTTGTATTTGAACGGATGATAGTTAAGAAACCTATTACTAGCCATAGGTTTCCTGTACCAACTTGTAGTTAGTGTATTGTCACTATTTCTAAAGACACGCACGTCTAAAAAAGGAATATTATTGTTAGAGGGATCCTCAAGTTTATAAGTGAACTGTAAGTGAGGATCAAAACAATTAAAGATCGATAAGGTAGACTCTACTTTGTCAGGGGGTAAGGCTAACAAAATGTCATCAACATACCGTTTAACAAAAGGGATCTGGAAATCTATAAGACCCAAACAGTCAGATACCAAGTCATTAAGGACAAAGTTAACAAGGATGGGAGATATGGATGAACCCATTGGTGTCTCAAAAATTTGTAAGTAATACTTATCATTAAAAACCAAAAAATTAGTGTCAAACACCAATTGCAAAAACTCTGCAAACACGTCCCAGGATACAGGGGAGTTTGGTTGGATGGTGTTCCAATGACTCCTTAAGGAAGTGAGAATACTAGAAAAAGAAAGGTTAGTGAAAAGTGATATACTCGGCTCGCTATTCCCACTACGAACTGTCTAGAGAATTTAGTAATTATTTTTTGCGAAGTAAGTTACTTTTTGACAGACTGAA